TACAAATAAAAATGTGAAAACAAGACAGAGAATGAATAAATCTAAAAGTAATTAAATGTTATGTCCCTCACATCAAAATGCTAACTTGATTGGTTAAATGACACTGCTTCATGTCGTCCCAACAATGACAGATTGAGGAAACAAGAAAACCCAATAAACAGTTTGAATTGATGTTTGTTCTGGAAATGTCCTGGAACAGTGATTTCCGTAAGAACAGGAAGCAAACCTCTTCCCTGCTGTCATCACAAATTAAGCAGGAAATGACAGTAACAGGAGATCGTGCATTCATTTCGGCCAGTTCTTAAACGCAATGTTGTTATGGTGATAGGTGGTCTTTGCCACTGTAATGAGAGTACTAGGTGTTTATTGTTGTCTCGGGGTGATGGGTCAGCAGCTCGGTGCGCGCACGTCGGTGTGTTGGTGGTGTGTGGTGCGCATGCGTGCTGGTGGTGCCAGGCAGCTGCTGGTGTGCTTCAGCACTGATCCATGCTACACACTAGCGTACGCCCTACTAAATGACCAGAACCACATTGACAGTACGGAATGATGAAAGACCCTGCTCCTCAAATGCAGGCCCCGAGGAGCGCCCCACCCGGCGCTGCAACCGAGACAACAATAAAACACTTGAACTTACAGGGAAAAAACTCACATTAAAAAACAGTTAAGCCCGCCGATGAATGACGATCCCTACTGCAGTCTGTAATTGAGAACAGCAGGAAGATTTTCCTTTCGTAGGAAACATGTCAGGACATCCAGAACAACACAATCAAACGTATGGGTTCTGTTCCTTCCAATCCGTCAGTGACCGATGAACAGTGCATTTAAAAAACAAGCTGAGCATTTGAGTTGAGGACAAACATTGAAACGCAGATACATCTCCGGTCTTGTTTCACAATTGATCCATTAAATATTGACACAAAATCCTTTCAAATGAGTGCTTCTATGAGGTCGTGCATCCACGGTAAAAAAAGGAAACAAAATCCTTCAAATAAGCCTCCATGAATGATGAAGCAAATAAATGATTATGGCACATCCATCTGCAAGCGGGACCCCGTTAACATCCCAACCTCGCCCAGGCCCGGCGCCCTCGCTCCCCGAGCTGGCCATTCCAGTTACAGTAGACCTGGTAGAACGCAGTGAGGCGGGGGGCACGCTGCGGGCTTGGTGGAGCGACGCGGTAAAAACAACATGCAACCTTGACCAAAACCATTTGCCCCACCCAAAAAAAGATTTGCGGAAGCCGCAAAACATATCAAGCGGGCCGCGGTTTCCGGACCCCTGCGCTAAGCCGGTGCACGCATATGAAGCCACCAAAAACGGCCGGCCGTTTAGACGAAAGTGACCTTTAAACGGGCTACCCCGCAGG